ATGGGTTATATCGCAAGATAATCCAGCTTGATCTTTGATAATTCATATGCGGTATAGCTCGTTCTCTGGTATCGACCAAGCTCCTGTTTCACCTAGAAGAATCCGCAGCGTGATACGTTCAAAGCTCAAAGTTTGGTTTTCATTGACGGCAACAGCTACATTGCTCAGGTATAAAAAAACAGGACACAACAATGTTACATCATACACTCTATCGTTTCTTGATGCTCACGTCAATGTTTCCAATCGCCCATATGGCAGCGAACACAGTCAGCAATCCAGTGGTGATGGTCACGGGCTTGCGCATTCCATCCCAGAAGGAATAATCATAGGTAACCTGTCAAGGATTAGCATTCCATCTAGTGGAGCGTAATATAAGGTTGAATACTTACCACCAACTGAGAATCACGAGCCTCATCGGACAAATTCTCAACCGTCAGGGTCAACGCAGTACGGCCCAAAGTGTCCATGAAGGTCTTGTGGGGAGACACGTGGGACTTGATCTGATCGGCAGGGGGAAGACCATTGTTGGAGGCAGTCTCAATCGTCTCGTACCGGACGTTACGGGCTCCCTCGGGAAGAATGACACGAACAACCACCTTCTCATACTGCACACCTTCGGGCATCTTGGGTCCCTCGATGAAAGGAACCTTGAGAACATACGAATCGGCGCCGGTCACCCGGCGAAGGAAGGTAGAGAGCTCGTTATTCCAACCAATACGGAAGCTGTAGTTCCAGCCACCAAAGACGGGAAATCGGGGGCGAAGTTCTAAAGATCCATCACGCTTGGGAGGCTTGCCAGGGCGATAGCGGCTCGTGGAGACATTACCGATGTCATCAATGAAGTAGGGGTCCACCGAGCCAGGATTCAGCGGATACTTTAGTTCACGGATGGCGGAAGAAGGCAATTGCTGGAAGTTACTGAGTGTCCACTCAACGCGCGAGAATTGATTGATGAGGTTGGAGCCGTTATTGCGAAGCCAGTAGCGCTCTTCTGTCGCCAAGTTTCCACCCCAGTGAGACACCTCCAAGTCTCTCTCCAGCAGCGAAGCTGTGATTACCGGCTTGGTAAACTCATAACGGATGGTAATCGGGTAGACAGTACCGGGTGTGACCTCAGTCGTATCATAAGGGCCGTAAGTGTAAGTTGTACCTTGACGCTCAGGATCCGAGCCTGACTTGAGGCCGGTGGTAGTGGTATAGTCAGGAACATTGGTACTAGGAAGCTTCAGTTTCGTCTTTTGGGTCACAGTTGGGTAGGCTGAGTGGATATAGGCAGAAAATGAGTAGGTGAGGTACTGCTTATCAGCCTGGTTGATAGCGGCAGGGCGCGGGCTCAGGGAGGAGAGGAGGTAGTAAGAAATTCCCAAAGTAACCTGCGACTTGGGCGCAAGAGGCTCGGGGAGGTCAATGGCAAAGAATTTGGTGTCACTGCGAGATGCGGGAAAAGTAATCCATAGATATTAGTTTATATGCTACAAACAGTATAGCCAGATTAAGAAACCGTGGCTTCGTCATCTCAATAGCAACCAGCCACTAGTAGCCACAATAGCGTACTCACCTGGGCGAATCGATAGACAATGCATCCACTACGAAAGGCCCCTTCTCCGGTGCCTTTCTATCTCTCACTTCCAGTCCTCCGACCTTGTCGAATACCTCCGATGGGAAGGCCAAGTAGTAGGTGCTCTGCGGTTCATTACCCACGTTCTCCACCACCACGTTGACAGTCTCTCGAGCATAACCTTTCTCCAGGTTGGTGTTCCGGACCAAGTTTACATTCTTGAATGTCTGGGGAGGCTGGAAGGAGGGATGGGTCCTCGCGGAGGATTCGGCGCATACGAAGCTTCTGCTTGACAGGAGGAACCCGCAGAGTGCGGCGAATGCTGTAATCGGCCTCATTGTGACGATGGGCGGGCGTGCAACTGACCGCGCCTAGGACACAATGTCTCTCACCAGGAGATGGTCCTATAAAGAAGAAGGAATAAAAAGAAATGGGAGGGATTGAACAGGGGGGAAGGGAAGGTAGCGCGGCGAGATTCGACGTGATGCTGATGTGTCCCGATGCTGCTTAGATTCCGGTGACCGCTGCGGCCAAAGACGCCATCCTCTCTTATCGCCGATAAGTCCTACTCCTCTCCTCCACATTTTCCAGCTACTTCTTTCTCCACTCTTACTGTCAAGCTACCCTCACAGCATAGCGTCTACCTGATCACTATGCTTGCTTCGCGAGCTGCAGCTCGCCATTGCTGCAGGAGAGCAAGGGTACCAGCATCGGCCTTTCCCGCACGACCCCTTCATGGCCTTGCGCAAAGCAAGTTTCTTCAGGTCTCGGAGGAAGTTCGTGACGCCGTAGCCACAGGAAATCCTGTGGTAGCTCTAGAGTCCACAATCTACACTCACGGTATATATCCACACTTTCGTTTTTATCCGTAGGCGGAGAATTACTCGCTGATCTGCAAACAGGATTTCCGTATCCTGAGAGTGTTGCTCTTGCGTCGTTGCTGGAAACCGTCGTACGGGCAAATGGCGGAGTTCCCGCTACAATTGGAATTTTGAACGGAGTAGCCAAGGTCGGTCTTAACGCCGAAGAGCTTATCGAGCTGGCCTCTACCGCGGAGAGCAAGAATGCCCTGAAGGTTTCCCGCAGAGATTTGGGTTACATATGCGGCCTGGTCAGTTAATTTGTGCGCCGTTTTGAAGAACGTCTCTAACAATACTAGGGCCTGGCTGGGAAACGACTGCACGGTGGTACAACAGTCTCGGGCACGATGATCCTTGCCCACCTGGCTGGTATTAAGGTCTTCGGGACTGGGGGTCTTGGTGCGTCTCTGCGCAGTCTTAGGTCTCTTTCTAGAAACTAATCAGTCCTAGGTGGTGTCCACCGTGGTGGAGAGAATTCTATGGATATATCTGGTATGTTCTGCTGGCAAGCTCTAGCAGCCAATATCTAACGCTTAGTAGCCGATCTCACCGAACTGGGACGGACCCCGGTTGCTGTTGTCAGCTCTGGATGCAAAAGCTTCCTGGACATCCCTCGAACTCTGGAATATCTTGAGACCGAAGGTGTTTGTGTTGGGACATTCGCGGATGGCCGTACGGGCCAGATAGATTTCCCTGCATTCTTTACGCGCGACAGTGGTATCAAGAGTCCAAAGGTTATTCAAGATGAGGCTGAGGCAGCTGCCATAATATGTGAGTTGGCTGTGCATCTCGTGCTTAGTACTAGTGGCTGACGTTTCGATAGATGCGCAACTAAAACTCCCTGTTTCATCGGGAATGCATTTCGCCAACCCGGTACCTGTGCAGCAGTCTATTCCCAAAAACGAAATGGATGATATTATTGAGGAAGCAATCCGCCTTGCTGAGGTGGAGGGCCATCAGGGCAGCGACAACACTCCATTCGTACTATCTAAAATCAAGCAACTCAGCGGTGGCAAGAGTGTTACTGCTAATCGTGCTCTGGTTGAGGCGAATGTGCAGCGTGCTACTCGCGTTGCTGTAGAACTTTCAAAGTTGGAACAGTCCAATGGAACGCTTAATGAGCGGTGAGTTGCCCTGTGTTAGATGCGACTCGGAATGACCCTAATTTCGAGGTGTCTTCAGGCATATGCCAGCAATTTCCGAGGACGTCAAAGCTGACCAAGCAACTTCAGAGGCAGAGCTTAAGCTCAACCCAACTACTGAAGGACCTATTGAGGCATTGGACAAGGTAGACGTTCTCGTTGCTGGCTCTCTCGCGGTTGATCTTTCCTGTGACTATGCTCCTCCTGCGGGAGAAAAAGACATCAAACCTGTTTCTGATACTTCCAATCCTGCCACCATCACACAGAGCCTTGGCGGCGTGGGTCACAATGTTGCCATTGCTACCAAGTATCTTGGCAGCTCCGTTCTTTTTTGTAGTGTTGTCGGGGACGATCTAAGTGGCCGTGCAGCCCTAACGGCTCTTCGAAAAGAGGGGCTATCCACTGCTGGCGTACAGGTGCTGCCCGCGTCAAACGGCGCCAGGACCGCACAGTATGTAGCTGTTAATGATGCGAAGAAAGACCTCGTTGTGGCTATGGCGGACATGGGCATTATGGAACTACCAGAGCAGAATTTGGACTTCGAGGGCTTTTGGGAGACTCTGCTCTCCCGCACGAGGCCTCAATGGGTTGTCGTTGATTCGAACTGGAGCCCTGAAGTCCTTTCCAAGTGGGTTGCTGTAGCCAAGAAGTATGGCGCAAGGGTCGCGTTCGAGCCCGTATCGAATGCCAAAAGTCGCCGCCTGTTCAGCAAAAGCACCGAGGTAGATGCGGCAATTAGCTCGTCGGCATCTGTCCCCAACAATGCGATCAGCCTGGCGACCCCCAACCAGTTTGAACTCACTACAATGTACACGGCAGCGCGTGAAAGTGGGCTGTTTGACTCCGAGGGCTGGTGGCACATCATAGATGCGATGGGTATGTCGTCAGCAGGTGCTCGAGACCGACTCGTTGCAATGACATCCAACCAACTTGTGGATCAAGGCATCCCCCAGCAGAGTATCCAACTCCTTCCTTACATCCCCTGTCTCATTACCAAACTAGGGTCACAGGGTGTCCTCGTCACTCAACTTCTTCGCCCTGGTGACCCGCGTCTCACTTCGCCCGATTCTGCTCCGTATATCCTGTCGCGTACTGCACTGGCTGATGAGCTGGTTGGTGGTGTGTATATGAGATTGTTCCCACCCGCCGCCGTGCTGGCCGACGAGGAGATTGTCAGTGTCAACGGAGCCGGAGATACGCTTTTGGGGGCGGTAATCTCGGGTCTCGCGAAGGGGGCAAAGACCGTAGAAGATGTCATTCCTTTTGCCCAGGAGGCCAGCCTTAGGACGTTGAAGAGTCCAGGAGGTGTCAGCAGTGATATTGTCAGCTTAGCGCGCTCCTGAGTCAATATAGAATCAGTGTGAATGTGTATAAATACTATTTGGAATGCACTATAACTATAACGTGGATATAGTTACCGCCCAATTTACCATGTTCCGCTCAAGATAAAGCCCTGTCGACTCCCTCCCCTCCAACAACAGGAAGTCTGTCCACAACATCCCATCCCTCTCTGTTCTTCCCAGTAGCCTTAAAACCGGTCGGTACCAGACTCGGGTCCAACAGTCCTATCTGCACCAAGACGCTCGCCTGATCCCAATAAATATTATGCCGGGCCAGTTTCCCCGCAATGAAGCTAGCCGTCATGATAATCACAACGCGCACTTGTTTACCCGTAGGTGGCACACGGGGCAGCAGCCACGGGATCTCTTCTGTATGCGTGAACGTGAGCAGAAGCTCGTCAACTATCCGGTCTGTGCCGGTCGTGCGAGACAACAGACGAATACTCTGTGACGGTGGTCCCGTGGGAAAGAACTGCGTGGTATAAAAATTAGTGATTTGAGCCGGGTGTTCTCCTAAAGATCGCCACCATCAGCCACTGTTTCTTCCCAATATGCAGCTCACCAGACCACATAGGGAAAAGAGCAAGAACAGAAAAGGAACGGGAAGAGGTAAGTGGGAAAGGAAGCACATACCACCAATTGAGGTAGGGACGCAATTGACTATCGCTACCTCATTCAATTCCGCCGTCGGGCCGGATTTCTCCCCATCGCTATCCCCGTTCCCGTTCAAGGGTATACCTCCACCACTCCCTACCATCATGTTCACTGTATTGGCCGCATGATGCTCCACCTCGTCTCGTCCCGCTTCCTGCCCATTGTAGAACAGATTCCGCCAGTACTCGTCCCACACCGTCTCCACGACAGGTACCTGCCAGCTCCCTGCGGGCCAACCAAACCCGCGCTTCAGACAGTCCAGCGCTCGGCTCCAGGCCAGGCGCGAACTGATCACGTCGTGGGTTCTGGCTGTTGACTCCGCGAACCCGGGTTCGGATTCTGGGTAAAAGAAGAGGTGGCATCTGTGGCGCTTTTTGCTTGGGTGGCTGTTGTAGTCGTCCCAGAGGGTGGTGGGTTGGTGGCCGGCAAGATGGACTTGGATGGGAAGGATGGAGAGGGTGTCATAGCAGGAGGCGGTTGAAGAAGAAGTTGTGGAGGGGGGCACAATGCAGGGGTTGGTCGTTGTGTTGGGGCAGTCGGCGAGGCTACTATGGGAATCTGTTCCAGAGAGCTGGGGGTAGTAACATACTAGGGCACAGAGGAGAGGGAAAGGGTTGGTAGCTGTTGTTGGGTGGTGGTGAGATGTAAGGAGGAGGTAGGCCGGTTTATTGTATGCTTGGAGTGTTTTGTTAGCTTTTTGGTCATGGATTCAATTAATAGCGAAAAAAAAA